CGCCATCACGATGAAACGGGCTGTCGCTGCTGGAGCTGACGTGTACGCAGTGGATATAGCGTTAGTGGAAAAAGTGGAGCAGCCGAGTGATTTGCAGAAACTGTTGGCAGCCGTACCACCCGAACTACAGGCACTACTGAAACGGTTCCCAAGTATCTTTCCGGATGACTTACCGCAAGGGCTACCACCTCAGCGGGCGCATGACCATAGGATCGAGTTAGAACCAGGGACACAGCCAACTGTACAGCGCCAATTTCGACTGACAAAGCCCGAGCTCGACGAGCTAAGGAAGCAGTTAGATTACCTGTTAGAGAAGCAGTTAGATTACCTGTTAGAGAAGCAGTTTATCCGACCGAGTTCGTCACCGTTCGCCGCACCGATACTGTTCACACCGAAAAAAGACAGGGGGTTTTGCATGTGCATCGACTACCGAGCGCTTAACAGGGTAACAGTCAAATCACGGTACCCCATCCCTCGCGCCGACGAACTGATCGACTAGCTGCGAACAGCACGGGTATTTTCGAAAATAGACTTACGCGGAGGTTACCATCAGATTCGGGTCGAACCATCAGACTGCGCCAAAACAGCATTTAGGACTAGGTACGGGTCATTCGAGTACACAGTGATGCCTTTCGGGCTGACCAACGCGCCTGCAACATTTCAGATGACCATGAACGAGGCGTTCAGGCCACTTTTAGATAAATGTGTGATAGTTTACCTCGACGATATCCTCGTTTACACTCGGGACAAGCAGCAGCACTTAGTAGATCTCGAAGCAGTTTTTAAAATTTTAGAGGAACATCGGTTACTCACCAAGGGCTCCAAGTGCGAGTTTTTTCGGGACAGGCTAGAGTTTTTAGGACACGTTATTTCGGAGGCTGGGGTAGAAATCGACCCTAAGAAGCTGGATACCGTAAAAGCGTGGCATCCACCGACGAACATCACGGAACTGCAGAGTTTTTTAGGGTTTGTTAATTACGTTCGACGGTTCGTCCCCGCCATGGCACGCTTAACTGCCCCGCTCACCGATTTACTGCGCAAGGGGGTCGTGTTTACGTGGGGGGAGAAAGAGCATGCTGCCTTCTCTACCCTGAAAGATGTTCTCTGTTCACTGTCAGAATTATATTTATTATAACTGCATGAAGTTCTAGCTGTAGTGTAGTTATTAAGTTTGTAGGTGGTGCACCTCTTCACTTGTTTCCTTGCTATATGTACTTTGAAACTATAGTGAAGAACACATTCTTCCCAATTTCTCTCTTCCAACTCACTCGATACCTCGCCTAGGAGAAACCCGCTCGATACTCTAGTTGGGCCTAGGCTACTAAGCCTAGGCCCTAGCTTAATCTACTCGTTCGTTCACCTTAAACTCTCGACATGGTATCAGAGCGACGTTCGTTCTGGCCTCACGTTTCCACTGCTACGATTTTCCGGTCGCGCGCCTAGGGCGCGTGACGATTTTTACCTTGTCCCGCCCACGGGCGTGTGACTCCTTCTCTGCCCGTCGCGCGCCCCGTGGCACGCGACGGTGCCCTTCATCTGCCCGTCGTGCGCCCCGTGGCACGCGATGGTGCCCTGCTCGTCGTGTGCCCCGTGGCACTCGATCGGGCCCTTTAAACTTAAACTTACCCGTCGTGCGCCCCGTGGCCCGCGACGGGCCTTTCCGCACCTGCCCTCCCTGCAGCCGCCCCTGACCTATCAGCGCCGACACAGTGTAGCCGCTCTGCGGCTTTCTTCCCGCCCACCCCCTCCTCCTTTGTTTCTCTGCAGCCGCGGGGAGGAGGGTATGGGGGTGGCGGGTGTTGGGGCGTTGGGTCGTTCACTTCCCTTCCCCTCCTCCTCCTTTCATTCCCACTGCTGCAGCTGCCGCTGGGGGGGAGGGTGTGAGGGTGTGGGGGAGCAGGGGGAGTGGTACCGGGGTGGCGAGTGTGAGGCAACAAGCAGCCGTCCCTCCACCTCTCCTCTCTTTCCCCCTTCTCTGCTGCTTCTGCAGCAGTGTGGGGGAGGGGAAGGAGGAGGGTGAGGAGATGGAGGGGGTGACCAGCTAGTGTCAGCCCGCCTGCATTACCTGCTGTTGCTTGCTTTTTATTGTTCGTTGGTGTACCTCTGCACGGTGTGCTCTGCACTTAGCTATTCCTGCATGCAGTTACGGGGGGATGTCAGAATTATATTTATTATAACTGCATGAAGTTCTAGCTGTAGTGTAGTTATTAAGTTTGTAGGTGGTGCACCTCTTCACTTGTTTCCTTGCTATATGTACTTTGAAACTATAGTGAAGAACACATTCTTCCCAATTTCTCTCTTCCAACTCACTCGATACCTCGCCTAGGAGAATCCCCCTCGATACTCTAGTTGGGCCTAGGCTACTAAGCCTAGGCCCTAGCTTAATCTACTCGTTCGTTCACCTTAAACTCTCGACATTCACCACCCGTCCTACGCATCGCTGACCCACACCGCCCCTTCGAAGTTGTTACCGACGCGAGTGACATCGCCATCGGAGCCGTACTGTTACAGGACTTCGGCAACGGCCTCCAACCCATCGCCTACGAATCACGCAAGCTACATCCACCTGAGCGAAATTACCCGATACACGACCGCGAAATGCTCGCGATTGTGCATGCCTTCAAAGTGTGGCGCTGCTACTTGACCGGGGCAGACGTGACAGTACTGACAGACCATCAATCCCTACAGTACCTTCGTGCACAGCCCCACCTCAACCCACGACAGATTCGGTGGCTCGATTTCCTCGAGTCGAATTTTCACTATACGGTCACCTATAAAAAAGGAGCCTCGAATATCGCTGACGCACTGACCCGCCCCACTGCCCAGATCCATGCGATACTACTCGCCCAGACCAGCCCGCTACTGACAGGACTATTTACCCACGGATATCAAACAGACCCATTCTTCACAGGAGGAAATTCGCAGCAGTTCGCAGCAGCCAAGGGAGTCTATTACGTAAAAGTTGGAACCGACCGCATCTGGGTACCAGGGTACACACTACTACGGGAACTACTGTTACAGGAGGCACACGACGGAGTTACCTCGGGACATTTCGGAGTAGAAGAAACACGGCAGCAGCTGCAGCGGTACTACTACTGGCCAGAAATGTTGACCGACGTGCAACGACACGTGGCATCGTGTCCCACTTGCCAGCTCATGAAGTCAAGCAGGAAGCGGCCGGCGGGACAATTGCAACCAATCCCACCTCCAGGGCGTGCTTGGCAGCAAGTGACGATGGACTTCGTCACGGGGCTACCGGCTGGGGTGAGTGGGAATGACGCGATCCTGGTCGTCGTCGATCGACTGACGAAAATGGCACATTTCGCAGCCTGCAAGAAAACAATCACAGCCGAAGAAACAGCCCGACTCTTCATCACCACCGTCGTTCGACTGCACGGGATACCAGCGTCGATCATCAGTGACAGGGATACGAAGTTTACCAGTAATTTTTGGCGGAACCTGTGGCAGCAGTTCGGCACGCGACTACAATTCAGTTCATCGTACCACCCCGAAACCGACGGACAGACAGAACGGACAAACCAGACCATGGAGCAGCTCATCCGAGCCACGTGTGACGATCCAAACACGTGGGAGCAGCAGCTGCCACTCATCGAATTCGCCTACAACAATGCTCCATCCGCCACGACCCAACAGTCACCATTTTACTTGAATTACGGACAGGACCCAACAGTACCCATGACTCCAAGCCCCGACAATCCCGTTCCACGCGCACAACAGTTCGCCGAGATCTCGCAAGCAGCACGGACCAGGGCAGCAGAAGCAATCAAAAAATCAAATATCATCGCTAAACGCAACGCCGATCGCCACCGCAGACCCGTCACTTATCAGCCCGAGACCTCGTTTTACTCGACACTCAGAACCTCCGCCTGCCCATCACTCCCAAACTCCGCCCTCGATACTGTGTGCCGTTTCGAATTAGCCACATGATCACACCCGTCACTGCGCACCTCCTCCTCCCTGCTGACTGGTACGTCAGCCCCTCGTTCCACGTCAGCCTGCTTTGCCCTTACGTACCATCCACCAGCCAGCTCCCACGACATCGACCATCCAGCATGGCACGACCGCCAACCGAACCAATCATCACCCCCGACAAAATCTTGAGCCACAGAGTTCGCGACCCTCGAGGAGCCCGAAAAGTCGAGTTCCTGATCCGCTGGAAAGACCGTACACCCACCGAGGACAACTGGGTTCCCCTGGACAGAATTGAAAACCACCCTGTCCTCACCGAGTATCTGCGCAGCCGAAACTTCAAAGACGTCCACGCGCTTTCGTAAGGAGGACCTCGTTAAGAGGGGGGGTAGTGTAAGGAAAATCACTTTTCCTTACTTCGCATCCCTGCTCAACGCGTACATCACTGTAGCACCTCAGTCAGCACCGTTACCACTCGCGATCATCGCATCATTCATCATCCCGCCATTTTCGCACATCGCATCCCGACCTCACGGCTCGGCTGGTAACCCGCGCTCCGGGCCTACGCTTCGACACTTTCCCAACCTCAGTCCCAGGCTCGTCGCGCGACTACCATTACCGTTACCACTGTTTTCGCTATATATTCTTCGCTCATGCCTTCGCTCATTTGTACTCTTGCTTCGATAGTGCAATTCTCGTTCGTTCACTCAATTGCACTCGTAACACCTACCAAGCTGTATCAACAAAGGAACCACATGTATTTTTTACTGGAAAGCGGCTTCTCACAATCGCGGTAATTCTCTCTACTCAGATCCAACACGCACCAGCAGAGAGAACCCAATCATTCCTCGTCGTCACCCTCTTCCCTCGTCTCCTCCCGCTTGCAGGAACATCATCCTCTTGCCGACCAGACCAAAATTCCTGTTTCAAGGCTTCAAAATTTTCCGGATCTGCGATCTCCTCCACGCGTAGCGTATCCTCCGTTCCGTCTCGCGCAATTCTGGTTCCCTGGTCCGTCTCGATTGCTTCAGGAGTATCTATCCTCGATATAGACTCGAAGAGGCGCGAAGATGGCGGTGCGAATGCTGAACGCGAACGCGGAGGTGGTGAGCAAATCGGCGGCGCTCTTCATGAACATCAACGCCGCCAAGGGCCTGCAGGACGTGCTCAAAACCAACCTCGGGCCGCGCGGCACCATCAAGATGTGAGAGAGCCGAGTCGCAGCGGCACCGTCAAGGTGTGAAAAAGCCGCGTCGCGACACCATCGCGATCTGAGAAGCTTGAGTCGCGGTTAAGGAAGGACGGCACGATTTCGATGTGAGACGGCCGAGTAACGGTACACGAGAGACGGCGCGATCAAGGGCGTAAGGATCTTCAATAGTTTACGAGGATTTAGGAAGGCGCGTGAACACCACTCCGGTGCATCGATTTACAAGCAGGAGATTGCGATACAGTATGGCGATCTAGGTGTGAGGAAGAGCCACGTTAGGGGTACAAGCAGGAAGGTGCGATCGCTGTGAGCGGAAGCGCGGAGGTCTGTGGGGATAGTAGGGCAGCTAGTTGCGCGATCCGAGTCTCGGAGCGGCGTGTGACGTGGAGCTATGATCACGGAGATTGCGGATTCGATACGGAAGTTCTGGCGGGCCTGCAAACTTGTATCTGTGATTGGTTTGTCGTTCTCCCTTAGGCGATTTCGCACCCGGCCAAGTGATCTTCGCGCGTCGTGCCTGACTGAAACGAGCTACTCCTGAATTCGATTACGCGCCATCACAGTATCCGAAGGCGGGTGATGGGTTGTCAAGCCACCGCGATTTCGAACGCGACGCTCCTGGTGGTCCCAGTGAGAGGTGAATCCCGCTAGTAACGGCTCGACAGACCTAGTGCAGCGCAAAGATTCCGATTCCCTGACACGCCCCTGGTAAAGCACGAATGGATCTGAGGTTCCGACGAGCCGGCCTGAGTGAGAGTGCTGAAAAGAATCCAGTGCACGCTTGTTGCTTGCGTCAGTGACAGGTTGTTTTTGAAAGCCACAAAAACGACTTGCAACTCCGAGAATGTTGATTAGGATTCAATGCACACTCATCCCTTTGCGTCAACTACTCATACGTTTCGCATTTGCGCGGCATTCCACTGTCCAAATTGAGTGCCCTTGTCATTTGATTCTAACCTTCACCTCGCATCTCCCTCGTCCCCTACGATTTCGCATGCTGGTTTGCTGCTCCTATCTATTGGTTTCTATTGCCCCGTGATTGCTTCACGTCAAAGTTAAGTTCTCCCATTTCCCTTTCATTCCCTGCTCCCCCTCGCTCCCTCTCGGTGATCGTCTCGTCGCGCCAGGCTGGTGGGCGGGGCTGGCGACATCCGCCTCACGAAAGACGGCAACACTCTTCTTCGCGAAATGGTAACCCGCCCCACACATGCTAGCGACGCACTCTCGCCAATTAGCTTTCGTCTTGTGTTTCGCCGCCTCCATTCAGAGCGCGATTCAAGCCATTTGGCCTTTGCGAATGCGTTCTTGCGGCTTTCAAACGCCTGCTTGTGTGCCCCTCCTTCCTACCCTGCTCTCTTTACTTGACCTTCCACATCAGCACTTTGTACCAAGTGTAACGCCCCGGCACTGCTGTCTTGGCACCACGAAACTCTTAAGGTCCTGAGGGCTTCAGAACTCAAAAGCCTTGAAGCGCCTCAATACCACGTCCGCACCAGTTGCAACGCCCATCACTGCTGTGGTGGTGGCGCGCACTGCCCCGTGGCCCTGTCCATCCCTGCAGACAACCCAAAACCTTACAACCTTAAACCCCTGGAACGTCAAAACCCCAGAATTTTGAAGTTAAACCCTGAATCCCTAAATTCTGGAACTTAGAACCGTGCCACCGTGCCACAGCAACGCCCTCCTCCCCGCCCCCTTGTGCGCCCCTTGCCAAACTCTCCTCAACCCCTCTGTCACTTTTGCACGACAAAATAGCTCTCTCTCCCTCTCCGCCCTGCATCCACCCCCCGTGCCCCGCATCCACCCCCCGTGCCCCGCATCCACCCCCCGTGCCCCGCATCCACCCCCCGTGCCCCGCATCCACCCCCCGTGCCCCGCATCCACCCCCCGTGCCCCGCAACTCCCTGTCCCGGGTCGTGTCCCTTGCCCCAACCCCAGCAAACCCCCCTGGCAGCAAATTTGGAGCCCCACAGCAGTGATGATAGTGCGCACAGCGGTGGCGCAGGACGACATAGCTCCTTCTCCCTCCCCTTAACCCCCTCCCCCCATTCCCCCATTTCCCCCCCTGTCCGCGCCGCCGTTCTCTTCGCTCTCTTCCCTTGCTTCTTTCTACAGCAAATCCAGAACCCAACAGCGGTGATGATAGCGCGCACGGCGGTGGCGCAGGACGACATAGCGGGCGACGGCACCACGTCCACCGTGCTGCTCATCGGCGAGTTGCTCAAACAGTCTGAGCGCTACATCGCTGAAGGTGGGTTAAAGGGTTTAGTGGAGTGTGCTTGTAACGGTAGTGCTTGTAACGGGGATAGATAGAGTGCAGTACAGCAGCAGTGGCACCACGTCCACCATGCTGTTCATCGGCGAGCTGCTCAAGCAGTCCGAGCGCTACATCGCTGAAGGTGGGGCTCAGGGGTTTAAGGGAGAGTGCTTATAACTCGGATAGATAGATGGAGTGCAGTGCAGCAGCAGCGAAGGTGGGATGAAGTTGACGTGGAGGATATTGTAGCAGCCTACTCGTTACAGTCTCTCATTGTTTGGTTGGATTCACTATTATAGCCTGCTCAATTCGTTCACCCGATTGGACTTGCAGCAGTAATTTGAGCAGTGTCGGTCGCAGCATCAACCACCCTCTCCCCTCTCCCCTCTCGCTTACTCCCATCAAGCCTTGAGTCGTGAACCTTCATCTTCCACCCCATCTACCCCGCCCCTTCCCCACTTCCCCCTCTCCCCCACCCCGTCATCCCCCCCATATATCCCTCCCCCTCCCTCCTTGTCCCCCACCCTCTCCCCCCTGCAGGCATGCACCCGCGCCTGCTGTGTGACGGGTTTGAGCGAGGCAAGAAGGCGGCGCTGGCGTTCCTGGAGGACTTCAAGACGACCGTCAGCATGGAGGGGGACGCGCCTGATAAGGACACTCTCAAGCTCGTTGCCAGGACCACCCTGCGCACCAAGGTATGGCGCAGTGGTGGTGGAGTGGTGCTTCTTTGTGCGTGCAGCAAGCAAGGTATGCGGGTCAGCGTTCCTGGAGGAGCTGAAGTCGACTGTGAGCATGGAGAGGGATGCTCCTGACAAGGAGACTCTCAAGCTCGTTGCCAGAACTACGCTGCGCACCACCAAGGTGTGCTGAGGTGGAGTAAGGTGTCCTACGATGCAGTGAGGTGTTGCGATTGCGTATGCCGCGAAAGTATTTATAGGAACTCTCAAGTTAGCCTCTCACATCATTGTGCAGAGATCAGGTTTGCTTTGCTTCACGGGCACAATTGCTTCACGGGCACAATTGCTTCACGGGCACAATTGCTTCACGGGCACAATTGCTTCACGGGCACAATTGCTTCACGGGCACAATTGCTTCACGGGCACAATTGCTTCACGGGCACAATTGCTTCACGGGCACAATTGCTTCACGGGCACAATTGCTTCACGGGCACAATTGCTTCTCGTGTGTGGCCGCATTGTGCGTTCCCATGCACTTGGTGCGTTCGCCATGTGGTCACTCCATCCATGTGTGCCATCGTTGCCCTACCTTACCTTACCTTACCTTACCTTACCTTACCTTACCTTACCTTACCTTACCTTACCTTAGCCCACATGCCATGTGCTCATGTGCCCATCCTCACTAATTGTGTTCTGTCTTTATGCGTCCTCGTTATTGGCAGGTGCATGAGAAGCTAGCGGATCAGCTCACCGACATTGTCGTCAACGCTGTGAGTGCTGCTGCCACCCTGCCCTGCCCAAACTAGTCGCCCCACCCCTGACATTCCAATGAATCTTCCCACGCTATTGTCCTCAAATTATCCACAGCCCATGTTTGAAATGTGATGTCCGCATTTTATAACCTCATGCCCTGTAACGCAAGTCAGCCTGCAAAAGTATCAAAGTCTAGGCGCCCAAAACTTATTGGCTGCCCGCTCAACAGCCTTCTCTGCAGTCACAACGCCCCCTTCCCCTCCTCTCCCTCCTCTCCCCTCTCCCTCCCCTCCCCTCTCCCTCCCATCCCCCCCCCCCCTCTCCCTTCCTCCCGCTCCGCCACACCCCCGTCCTTGCGCCTTGCCCTCCCTCCACTGCCACCAGGTGCTGTGCATCCGCAAGCCAGCAGAGCCCATCGACCTGTTCATGGTGGAGATCATGCACATGCGGCACAAGCTGGACTGTGACTCACGGCTGGTATGTTATGTGCCACCATGCACACATAGTGCCACCATGCACACATAGTGCCACCATGCACACATAGTGCCACCATGCACACATAGTGCCACCATGCACACATAGTGCCACCATGCACACATAGTGCCACCATGCACACATAGTGCCACCATGCAGTGCCACCATGCACACATAGTGCAAGACTGTGTGATGCACATGCAGTGTGCCCATCGACCTGTTCATGCACGCATCATGCACATGCGCCACAAGCTGGACTGTGACTCCCGGCTGGTATGTGGCATCAGACAGCACCATACAGCAGCATGCAGCACCATGCAGCACCATGCAGCATCATGCAGCACCATGCAGCACCATACAGCATCATGCAGCACCATGCAGCACCATACAGCATCATGCAGCACCATGCAGCATCATGCAGCACCATGCAGCACCATACAGCATCATGCAGCACCATGCAGCACCATGCAGCATCATGCAGCACCATGCAGCACCATACAGCATCATGCAGCACCATGCAGCACCATGCAGCATCATGCAGCACCATGCAGCACCATACAGCATCATGCAGCACCATGCAGCACCATGCAGCATCATGCAGCACCATGCAGCACCATACAGCATCATGCAGCACCATGCAGCACCATGCAGCATCATACAGCATCATGCAGCACCATGCAGCACCATACAGCATCATGCAGCACCATGCAGCACCATACAGCATCATGCACATGTGCTACAAGCTCGACGGCGCGCGCCTGGTATGTGGCATGAGGATGCGTGGGTTGTGCGCACACTTGACTGATCGACCATGGACCTGCGTGCCATGGTGGAGATCATGCACATGTGCCACAAGCTCGACTGCGACTCCAGGCTGGTATGTGGTATCATACAGCACCATACATGCACCATGAATGCATCATGCACATGTGCCACAAGCTCGACTGCGACTCATGCCTGGTATGCTAATATGCATTGGTTGTGCACACATGATACCAAGAGCGTGTGATAGTGGAGATCATGCACATGAGGCACAAGCTTGATCGTGACTCATGACTGGTATGTATGTGCCATCATGCACACATGACGCAAGGGCGTATGATTCATCATGCACATGAGGCACAACCTTAACTGCTACTCACTCCTGGCATGAGCATTGTGCGGACATGATGCTATGAGCGTGTGATGCACATGCAGTGTGGCAAGTGCATGTGACTTGATGCACATGAGGCACAATCTGGACTGTGACTCACGCCTTGTGACTCACGCCTTGTGACTCACGCCTTGTGACTCACGCCTTGTGACTCACGCCTTGTGACTCACGCCTTGTGACTCACGCCTTGTGACTCACGCCTTGTGACTCACGCCTTGTGACTCACGCCTTGTGACTCACGCCTTGTGACTCACGCCTTGTGACTCACGCCTTGTGACTCACGCCTTGTGACTCACGCCTTGTGACTCACGCCTTGTGACTCACGCCTTGTGACTCACGCCTTGTGACTCACGCCTTGTGACTCACGCCTTGTGACTCACGCCTTGTGACTCACGCCTTGTGACTCACGCCTTGTGACTCACGCCTTGTGACTCACGCCTTGTGACTCACACCTTGTGACTCACGCCTGGTATGTGGCGCCATGCATGCAGTGTGTGTGGCCGACATGAAGAGACGATTTTTGATTCATTCATACAAGCTCCGTGTGTTGCTGACTCACATGACATGTGTGCGTGCGGCACGGCAGGTGGAGGGGCTGGTGCTGGACCATGGGGCGAGGCACCCCGACATGAAGAAGCGAGTGGAGAACTGCTACATCCTCACGTGCAACGTGTCGCTGGAGTACGAGAAGAGGTATGCCATTGCCTCCCACCCCAGTGCTCTCGGGCTCTTGTACCATGGCGTGCACCACAGGGGCTGGGTGCACTGGGGCTGGGTGCACAGGGGCTGGGTGCACAGGGGCTGGGTGCACAGGGGCTGGGTGCACATGGGCTGGGTGCACAGGGGCTGGGTGCACTGGGGCTGGGTGCACAGGGGCTGGGTGCACATGGGCTGGGTGCACAGGGGCTGGGTGCACTGGGGCTGGGTGCACAGGGGCTGGGTGCACATGGGCTGGGTGCACAGGGGCTGGGTGCACATGGGCTGGGTGCACATGGGCTGGGTGCACCATGCACATCTGTCTCCACACGCGCTCCGCCCGCTCCCACATGTGCTCCCTCCCAGCGAGGTAATTGGGGGTTCTCGTGCCACGGCAGGGCGCAGAGGGGCTGCTGTTGTAATCGTGTGTGCGTGTCCCATGTGCCCCCCCAGCGAGGTGAAGTCGGGGTTCTTCCATCATGATGCGGAGCAGCGCCACAGGATGGTGGTGCCGGGGAGGGTAGCTCACATTGGGCACATGTGTTGCGTCATGCGCAATATGCCTATCCTATCCTGTGTGCCCCTCTCCCCCATGTGGCCCCCTCCCCCCAGCGAGGTGAACTCGGGGTTCTTCCACCACGATGCGGAGCAGCGTGAGAAGATGGAGGTGCCATGTCACCAGCACATGCGTTGCCCCATCCCCAGTACTCCTATCCTGTGTGCCCCTCTTGGACATTGCCTCCCCCCAGCGAGGTGAACTCGGGGTTCTTCTACCATGATGCGGAGCAGCGCGAGAAGATGGTGGTGGCGGAGAGGAAGTTCGTGGACGAGCGCGTGAGGAAGATCATCGCGCTCAAACGCAAGGTGGGTGTGTGGGTGCATGGGAAGGGGCGGAGGTCCGGAGGAGAGTGAAGGATGGGAGGGGGAAGGTGCGTGCATGGGCTGAGTTGAGCAGTATGAGGAGATGGTGGTGGGGGAGAGGAGGTTTATGGAGCGCGTGCGGAAGATCATCGAGCTCAAGCGCAAGGTGGGTGGCTCATGGGGTGAATGCGTGATTCTTTTTCTGAAGAGGAAGGTGGGTGGGGAAGAGGAGGAGAGTGAAGGAGCACCACATGCAGGCTGCCTTGCCTCGATCTTGTGTCACCCCAGGAGAGGCTCCGATGCCCTGCCTCCTGTGCGGGACACTCTGGAAGGTACTATATGGATGGAGGCCCTGCCGCATTGTCTCTCTCTCTCTTCGTGCACACGCCCCATTTGAATGCTATTTTGAGGCGCCCCTTAAGCGTGCCCCATGTGCGTGCACCCACATGTGGATGTTACTGTGCTGTGTGGGTTGTCACCGGCAGGTGTGCGGCGAGGGCGAGGGCGAGAAGGGCTTCGTGGTGGTGAACCAAAAGGGCATCGACCCCATCTCCCTCGACATGCTCGCCCGAGAAGGGGTGCGTGCCATGCCATCCCATGCCGTGCCATGCCATGCCATGCCGTGCCATGCCATCCCACGCCGTGCCATGCCATACCATCCCATGCCATTCCATCCTATGCCATACCATGCCGTGCCATGCCATGCCATGCCGTGCCATGCCATGCCATGCCATGCCATACCATGCTGTGCCATGCCATGCCATGCCATGCCATGCCATGCCATGCCATACCATGCCATGCCATACCATGCCGTGCCATGCCATACCATGCTCTGCCATGCCACATCACACAGCACCATACCACATTCTACCATGCCATGCCACACCAGAAGGGCATCGACCCCATCTCGCTGGACATGCTCGCCCGAGAAGGGGTGCGTCCCTGCATGCCATTCCATGCCATACCATGCTGTGTTGCTCCAAGCCATGCCATCCCATACCACACCATGCCTGGGTGTGCCGTCCTGTCACGTGCTGTACCATCTCATGCCACGTCATCTCCCCCATGTGGTGCGGGGGCATGTCATCTCCCCAGTGCGGTACTCACCCACCCGCTTGCATGCGTCCTTGGTGCCTCCATCCCCGTGTCAGATTGTAGCCCTGCGCCGAGCCAAGAAGCGCAACATGGAGCGCCTGGTGCTGGCATGTGGGGGCGAGGCGGTGAACAGTGTGGAGGAGCTGCAGGAGAGCGACCTGGGGTGGGCGGGGGTGGTGTATGAGCACGTGCTGGGCGAGGAGAAGTACACCTTCGTTGAGCAAGTCAAGCACCCGCACTCGTGCACCATTCTCATCAAAGGTGGGTAGTTGGGAAGGGGGGAGGGGATGCAAAGGGCGCGGCATGGGTGGGGTGGGCGGGAGGGTGACGCTGGGTGGGCAGGGGGGTGTAGGAGCATGTGCGGGGCGGCGAGAAGTACACGTTTGGGGAGCACGTGAAGCACCCGCACTCGTGCACCGTCCTCCTCAAAGGTGGGTAGAGGGGTGGGGGACAGGGGGGCGGGCGATGGGGGGCGGGGCAAAGGGTTCTCTTCCAAAGGGGTGCTCTTGAGCATGAGCAGGGTGGTGTATGAGGATGAGCAGGGTGGTGTATGAGCATGAGCAGGGTGGTGTATGAGCATGAGCAGGGTGGTGTATGAGCATGAGCAGGGTGGTGTATGAGCATGAGCAGGGTGGTGTATGAGCATGAGCAGGGTGGTGTATGAGCATGAGCAGGGTGGTGTATGAGCATGAGCAGGGTGGTGTATGAGCATGAGCAGGGTGGTGTATGAGCATGAGCAGGGTGGTGTATGAGCATGAGCAGGGTGGTGTATGAGCATGAGCAGGGTGGTGTATGAGCATGAGCAGGGTGGTGTATGAGCATGAGCAGGGTGGTGTATGAGCATGAGCAGGGTGGTGTATGAGCATGAGCAGGGTGGTGTATGAGCATGAGCAGGGTGGTGTATGAGCATGAGCAGGGTGGTGTATGAGCATGAGCAGGGTGGTGTATGAGCATGAGCAGGGTGGTGTATGAGCATGAGCAGGGTGGTGTATGAGCATGAGCAGGGTGGTGTATGAGCATGAGCAGGGTGGTGTATGAGCATGAGCAGGGTGGTGTATGAGCATGAGCAGGGTGGTGTATGAGCATGAGCAGGGTGGTGTATGAGCATGTGCTGGGTGAAGAAAAGGACACTTTCGTTGAGCAAGTCAAGCACCCGCACTCCTGCATGAGGCGATGCGTGTTATGAGAGCCTTAGCTCTCTGACCCAATCGTCTCAATTCTCACACCTGCACCACCCACCCGTTTCCCCACTCTCCCCTTCCTCCCATCTCCCTTATCCCCACGCTCCCCTTTTCTCCCTCTCCCTTTCCGCCACTCTCCCCCTCCCCCGCTCTGCCCTTGGCACCATGCTCTCCCCCTGTGGAGGGCAGGGCCCAACGACCACACGATAGCGCAGATCAAGGATGCGGTCAGGGACGGGCTCAGGTCCGTCAAGAACACCATTGAGGATGGCGCCGTCGTGCTGGTGGGTGTTGGGGGGTGCCGCTGGGTGCTGGTGTTTGCTGGTGGTCGCTGGGGGTGCTGGAGGGCGCTGGCGGGTGCTGGAGGCTTCTGGGTGCCGCTGGGCCCTGGAAGGTGCTGGAGGGTGCTGGAGGGTGCTGGAGGGTGCTGGAGGGTGCTGCCATGGGCCGCGCTTCTTCATGCGTCGTGCCTCGTGCTGCTCGTGGTGGGATCATGGTGGGATCGTGGTGGGATCGTGGTGGGATCGTGCCTCGTGCTGCTCGTGGTGGGATCGTGGCTCCACTCTCTCCTCCCAGCTGTCTCCTTCCACACACTCCCCGCCGCACTTCCCCCTCACTCACGCCTTTCTCACTCACGTGAAGAGCAAAGTCGCGTCATGTGAGGAAGGTGCCAGAAGCTCATCTGAACTGGCACTGGCTGGCGTAAGGTGCCAGCATTGCTTTCCCTTTCCAAGCCTAACTGCATCCCGCTGCTCATCCTCCCCCCCCCCCTACTCGACCCACCGTGTGGCACGGGCAGGGCGGAGGGGCGTTTGAGCTGGCAGCGCGGAGGCACTTGTTGGAGACCGTCAAGCCCGCCGTGCAGGGGGTGAGTGGGGGGGGGGGGGGAGAGGGGTGGGGAAGGGGCAACTGAGTTGGGGGGGAGGGTGAGAGGCAGGGAGACTGTTTGAGCTGGCAGCGCGGAGGCACCTGTTGGAGACTGTGAACCTGCCGTGCAGGGGGTGAGTGGCACAGGAGGGGGGAGGGTTAGTGTTACAGCGGGGAGGGGGGAGTGGGTAGAGCGGGTGAGCAGCGTGGTGGGGAGGGGGGAGGGATTGAGTGGCACAGTGGAGGGTGCAGGGCACGGTAAGGAAGGGTGAAGGGCACGTGTTGCAGGATTAAGTGGCTCTTTGGCCAGGAACAAGGGCAGGTAGAGTGGCAGCGTGTGAGAAATCCTCTGCTATTTTTTGACAGAGCGCTGCACATTGGTGAGTGTTGAGTCAACACATAGGTCACGTGGTCCTCTTCCCCCTCCCCCGCTGTGAATCACAGAGGGCACACCTGGGCGTGGAGGCACATGCGGAGGCGCTGCTGGTGGCGCCCAAGACATGGCCTAACTGGTTATCCCTCCTCCCACCTCCCCCCTCCTCCTCCCCCTCCCTATGAGCCACACAGAGGGCGCAGCTGGGAGTGGAGGCATTCGCAGAGGCGCTGATGGTGGTGCCCAAGGTGCTGGCGGAGAACTCCGGGCTGGACACACAGGACGTCATCATTCAGCTGCAGGTGAGGCGCACATGCATGCGGGTGCAGGTGGGGCATGCAGGCATGCAGGTGCAGGTGACATGAGATGAGATGAGCATGATGCGCTGATGCTGGCTGAGAACTCCGGGCTGGACGCACAGGACGTGATCATCCAGCTGTAGGTCAGCTGCGCACATGCATGCTGATGTCACCTGCCACATGACGTGACATGACATGTGCATGGAAGCATGCTGGCATGGCGTCAGCGTGCAGCTGTGTTGCGAGCAACTCGCCCCACGGTGCACCTCATGTGACCAGTCGTTCTCCCGGTGACTGTGATGATCTGTACGCGTTGGGGCTTTTGTGCCCTCGTCTCGCTGGCCCCCCTCCACTTCCCTGCTCGCACTCCTCGCCTCAATCGGCCAAGCCTCTGCATTGCCTGCCCATGGGTGACATTCGCTGTTTCGACATGGCATGGGATGGTTTCGTATGCTATGGTGTGCGATGATGTTTCTTGGCATGGCATGGCACATGATTTTATGGCATGGCATGGCATGGCGTGGAGCAGTCGGAGCATGCCAAGGGCAACGTGGTGGGGCTGAATGTCACCACGGGGGAGCCCATGGACCCGCATGTCGAAGGCGTGTTCGACAACTACAGCGTCAAGCAGCAACTCATCAACTCTGCGTATGGCTTCCCGCCTCACATCCGTCATAATAATATCACATATCACGCCTTCGCATTGTGGCATGTTCTGCATTGTTCTGTGATGTGATTTCCACTCGGGTACCTCTAGTATTTTTTTGCCTACCCATGCCCTCCCACCCAGTCATGTCTGTTTATGTCTTGGCCACTTTATTGCACAACTTCCCTGTCAGTTAATGCATGTACCGGCCAACATACGTGAGCCATTGTTGATGATTGAGCCATTCTACCATGCGCTCACTTGGTCACCTTGCTCTCCTGCAAAATGTTGATCTTCTCTACAGGCCCATCATCGCGTCTCAGCTACTATTGGTAGACGAAGTGCTTCGGGCAGGCAGAAACATGCGCAAGGGCTAGTGCTTCATGCAAATTCACATCACTCTTTGTTGCATAGCTTTCCTTTTTTCCTTAACACCATTGGACACAAAAAATTTAGCACATTTTGTATGGATTAGCCATGTGAAAATAATCGCAAGACTAGATTGAAACACAGGAAGAGTTGCGAACAGGGTTTCGTTACGCAGGAATCTTCTTGTAATGTCTATCACTATGACAAGCATTTTAGTAGCACACTGGAACAAAATATATTCTGTGGTTGAGTTGCACTACATTGCATCTGTCTGTTGTTGCCGTATCTCATCTTTGCGCATCATAACCCCCCCTGCATCCCCGCTTTACAACGAGTCACCCTTGGGCTTGTCCTTCTTTTCCTTCTTGGCTGTGCGCTTCCACTCGCTGGGTTGGTCAAGGACCTCGCCTGTCTTGAGCAGGTAGCGCACCTTGCTGCCGTCCTCCAGCACCTTGTGGCCCACTCGGCTCGTCACCTTCTGCTGCTTCGAGTACAGCATCACGTTGGAGCTGTGAATCGGCGCCTCCATCTGCACCACACCGTGCATTCCGGCAAGCATGCATTTATGTGACCATGGGAGCAGGTACTGGGAGTTGAGCAACAGAGCAGGACCAGAGGAAGGTCACAACTCACAGGGTGAGCGGCACTAAGGCCACTAATTCTAACTCTGAACCTCTTCAACAGAAGTGAAGAAATCTCAACACCTATGGTGATGCGCACCGTCACTGTGCTGCACCCACCCACCAATGTCCCATCACTGGCTTGCTGCCACTGCATGCAATGCAGCACGCACCTGGATGATTTGGCCGGCCTCGCCCTCTGCCTTGCCCTTGACGTGCTTGGTCTTGATGTTGATGTCCCGGCACAGCACGCTCGAGTTGTGGTTGATCACGCGCACCACCTCTGTCACCTTGCCCTTGTCCCTGCCCGCTATCACCTGCCACCCCCCACGCCGGGGGGAGCAGGAAGGGGAGGAAGGGCAAGATGAGGTGGGTAAATGTGGTGGAGAGGATGATGGACTGTACAGCGGAATGCTAGGCTTGAAAAAGCGAGTCAGGTGAGAAAAGGGGGCGTTCGGGGGAAGGAAGGGGAGGGTGGGGGGGGGGGCGAGGGGGAGTGTGGGAGTGGGGAGGGTTGTGGGGAATAGGGCTATGGGGGGGGTCCGGAAGCACAAGCTTAGACAGGTTGCATGGGATGGTCAATGAGCATGATGGTGGGTGCACACGCGTGGATTATGGATGAAAAAACCACACACACACACACACACACACACACACACACACACGCACGCACGCACGTACGCACGCACACACACACACACACACACACACACGCACGCACGCACACACGCACGCACACACACACACACACACACACACACACACACACACACACACACACACATGCGTACCACTCACCATTCTACCCTCCCACCCACCCTTCTCCTTCCCTCAACACACACATAGATGCCAGGCTATTATCCATCGGACATGGAGGATGCTGCTCAAGGAGCAAGCAGCATAGTGTACGGTCGCACCTGCACGGTGTCGCCCACTCGCACGCACCTGCACGGTGTCGCCCACTCGCACGCACCTGCACGGTGTCGCCCACTCGCACGCACCTGCACGGTGTCTCCCACGTGCACGTGCAGCTTGTGGCACACGGGCAGGCTGTTGTCCTTCACCTCCTTGCGCTCCCACCGCTTGATCTGCGCGCATTCCGCGCGCCGGAGAGAGCGGAACGAGCACGGGGGGTGAGAGGGAGACGACAGGAAGGTGAACGGGAGGGATAACATGCGAACGGGAGGGATAGCATGCGAACGGGAGGGATAGCATGCGAACGGGAGGGATAGCATGCGAACGGGAGGGAGAGCATGCGAACGGGAGGGATAGCATGCGAAGCGAACGCAAACAAGGAAAATTGCACCAAGGGAGGGACCAGTGGGAGAAAGGAGTTCGTAACGTCGTCGGGACGGGAAAGAATGAAAGGGGGGACCGGGGAGGCAGTCGACAGCAGGACGAAGCCAGAAAGGCCCCGAGGGATGTGCCGTTTGGACCGAGGAGTACGCAGGGGTGAGATATGGAGGGAAGTAGGATAAAAGGAGGAGATAAACTTACAGCCATGCGAATGACTGATGGCGCCGCATGAGGCTGGGCAGTCATCTGCAACGACCACGAGAACGCGGACGACATGCACGGAGGGGATATGCCAGCACGAGGAAGAGGGGGTGGGGGGGTCCGACGTATGGTAACGTGAGTGGTTTAGGTTGCAAGACGCGACGACGAAACATAAAGGCGGAGATGGATCTCCTGCAAATCGGCGCTTCGAGGATCAATGCGTGACCTAAAACCCTGCGTCTGAAATGCAGGCACATAGGAGAAGAGCAAAGATGCGCGCCCTAGGCTCGATTCTAGGTAAGCGATACGAAACTACGCAGCGTAGGCAGGGGGAGCGAGCCGCCAGGAGAACGCAGAACTGGAACAGGGTGAGCGAGACGGCAGCACGTACGGGCTTGGCTGCTAGCGAAGCGCCGAAGAGGCTGCTTTTGGCTGAAGATGTAGTCTGCACGGCCGCCATGCTGCTGCTCAGACCAGCGAGAGCCGCCATGGTTTGCGAGGTTACTTAGTGGGCTAGGGCTACAGGATGATAAGGATGGCTGTCAACCCGTGGTGAGGGTGGGAAAGCAGGAGGGAGTGGAGTAGCGGGATGATGGAAGCTTTTTTTCCGAAAAGGGGCCTTGTCTTTCCGAAAACGCCCCATTGCCTTCATCGACTTTGTCCAGGCAAAAATGCAGAGGCCAACCTCGAAATGCAACACCAACTTTTGCGAGAGGTGCTGTCGACGAAACGCTCGCGATAAGCTAGGTTACCCGCCGGACGACCGACGACGCCCTCTTGTCGCACAACCGGTTACGACGGGACGATCGTCATGTAGTCGCCAAGCCAGTCGCAAGCAAACTCTCTACAGAGTGCTTCGCGGTCAAACAACGGTGGCTATTGGGTTGGGTACGCATGTTTCTAGACAAGGATAATAATGGATGAGATAGCAAACACAAATGACACAGTTGCACATACATGTTTCAAATGATTTTGGGTCACGCAATGTATTACTTAAATTTCCACGCATATATGCAAATGAAGTAATACCGTCACCCCCCGGATATACCTCCATCGGGGGCTATAATATAACATGTTTTTTTGAGGGGATGGGCTTATAATATAGTAAATTTATAAGCGGCGGCGTTTATAATTTGTCAAAATTGAATTTTGTTTTTAAATATACCAAATCGAAGCATTCTCAAAGGCGGATTCACCTGGGTCGAGAACGTTCGAAACTGTGCATGCATTGCGCGTGAAACGGCCAACAAGGCGTGGCTTCACGCCTTCCACGCCTTGTTGGCCAGGCCAGGTTCATCGAACGTGAACCTGGCCCATGCCAGTGCACACGTACCTCGCATCACAGCGGCCCAATCAGGGTTGCATGCGATCGTGGGCACGTCGTGGTTCAGCCACGGTGTGCCCATCAACAGCAAAATTCCCCGCCACCGAGGCAAGGAGCTGCCCAGCTCAGCTCCTCTGCGGGGAATCTTGACTGGGGCCACCGTTTTCCCCGCAGAGGAGGCCGGGCCGCGAAAATGAAGGGGTCTCGGGCGAGGGCTTCATACAACCCTCATTCTCGACTTTTGCCTTCAGTTTCTTTGTTCGTTTGGCCTGCCGTGGCCATGGCGGGCCTTCCAAGCACGCATTTCTTGTTCCGCCGCCATCCTGCTGCCAGAGAAAACACCCGCCGAGACACCTGTGACTACTCTCAATGGCAGTCGCGCCCTGCGCCCGTCCCTCCGTGTCAACCAGTAGCTCCTCCCGTTCCTCCCACTCCTCCAACTCCTCCTGCACCTCCCGCTCCCCCGGCGCCTCCGGTTCCTCCAGCTCCTCCATCCCCTCCTGACCCGCCTGTGTTTGGTGCTCCACGTCAGGGGGTCCTGCAGCTTCTCCTCCCTCCTGGCTACTCGGCGTTTGACGCGTACCTGTCCGAGCCCGACCGCGCCGGTGGCGCATCGTCTTCCTCCGCACCGTCGCCACGCTGGGGAGCCCCGACTGATTGCCCGTTGGACGAATCCGTGACTGGTGCGGAGGATGACGTGGAGTTTTGGGCTGCCGACGGTCTTCCAGAGCACCTGCCTATTCCCACCTTCCCCCCCCCCAATAAGAAACGGCCCCACCCTTCTCGCGAGAATCGCGATGCCCGTCCTCCCTCCCCCAGGCACAAGCCTTCAAGTCACAAGCGGCACTCTTACACATCGCAGGAGAAACTGCAGTGGATTCTCAAGCTTGAGTCCGGGCACATGAGCGTGCGGCAGATGTCTCGCCAAACCGGCATCTCCCGAAGGTCACTCGCAGAATGGAAGACCCGGAAGGCTGACCTGGAGGGCGCGCATGCTGCTCGCAAGCGTCTTCATGGGCGCGGAAGGAGCTCGTGGTATCGCGACATGGAAGCTGAAGTCTACAGGAGGTTTCTTGTCCACCGTAAAAAATGTCTCGCGGTCTCGATCGCTCGCCTACAGAAGTGGTCGCATGAGGTGATGAAAGAATTGCACCCACAGGTAAAGTGGTCCGGCTCGCAGCGGTGGACTGAGCGGTTTCGCCGCCGTTGGAATCTGACAACCCGAGCGAAGACCAGGGTCGGCCAGAAGCTTGCTGCCAGTGAGTTTGTGGGAAATGGTTGCAGTTTAATGTGTACTGCTTTGTGTTGTTTGTCTCTTTATGTTTCACGGTTGAATTTTAACGCGTCATTAATACTGTCTTCTCTCTTTCCCTCCCACCCGTACTCCCAGACTGCGAGACTGACGTCAGGAATTTCTGGAAGTTCGTGCGTCACACCCGCCGCCAATACAAGATTGACCCGCAGTGGATAATAAACGCGGACCAGACACCACTGTGGCTCGAGATGCCTGCCGAACGCACAGTCGAGGAGGTGGGTCTGCGCTCTGTGCCTATCCGCAGCGGCGGCTATCAGAAGGAGCGAGTTACGGTGATGCTCGCCTGCACTGCCAGCGGTGAGAAGCTGAAGCCGTGGGTCTTCTTCAAACGGAAGACCCTGCCTAAAGGGGATTTCCCTTCAGGTGAGCATTAACACCCACTGCTGCATGTTTTTTTTTTTTCAATGTCTACTGATGTTGTATGTGCGTTTGTGGCTGTGCAGATGTTACGGTGTCCGTCCATCCCAACGGTTGGATGGACGCGGACGGAGTCATCGAGTGGCTCGACGGGGCAGTGAAGCCGTTCGTCCACACCAAGTTTGGAGTGAGGCCCCGCAAAGCGATGCTCGTCTTGGATTCGTACCGCGGGCACCTGACTGCGGAGGTGAAGAAGAAGTTCGGGGAGCTGAACATCGTCCCTGCCGTTATCCCAGCTGGCTGCACCTCGGAGATTCAACCTCTGGACGTCGCGGTGAATCGCTCCTTCAAGGCATCCGTTCGACAGCTCTACCAGGAGTGGTTCGAGAGCGAGGGGGTCGACACCTTGACAAAGAAAGGTGAGAGAGGCAGGCCATGCGTGTGCTGCTTTATCAGTTTGTAGCGGTGGCTGACTTTTGATTGTTTAAATTTTATGGCAGGCAACATCAAGAAGCCACCACCCGAGCTAACGCTCAAGTGGATATCAGCGGCTTGGATGTCAAACATTTATATGTTTGTGTGGTTCTAGGCTGTAGTGGGTCACACCATAAGGGGTACACCAGATTAGGGTTTGACATATTTGTACTGTTGTTCCTGCTAGTCACTCCTCATTCTCGTTTCTCATTCTGACATGGTATTACGAGCCTAGGTTCCACCTAGGACCGAAACGATAGGGCCCACCGTTTCCGCTAGCCGCGCCCTCGTGCGCCGCCGTTCTTTTTCCTGCGCCTCGAGCGCCTCTTTCTCAAGGCCCCGTATGGCCCCGCGCTAGCCTCTCACGGCCCCCGATCGGCCCCGCGCTAACCTCCTAAGGCCCCCGTCGGCCCCACGCTAGCCCCGCGCTAGCCTCCTAAGGCCCCCGATCGGCCCCGCGCTAGCCTCCTAAGCCCCCGTCGGCCCCACGCTAGCCCCGCGCTAGCCTCCTAAGGCCCCCGATCGGCCCCGCGCTAGCCTCCTAAGGCCCCCGTCGGCCCCGCGCTAGCCTCCTAAGCCCCTGTCGGCCCCGCGCTAGCCTCTCACGGCCCCTTAAGGCCCCACGCTAGCCTCCCACGTCCCCTGCAGGCCCCGCGCTAGCCTCTCACGGCCCCCCCCTTTGGCCCCGCGCTAGCCCCGACCGGCCCTCCTGCGCTCGCCCCTCTACGACCGAGCCGCACGGCGCGACCCGAACCGAACCGCGCGACCCAGCCGAGCCGCGCCGCCCCAGCCGAGCCGCGCCGCCCTAGCCGAGTCGCGCCGCCCTAGCCGAGTCGCGCCGCCCTAGCCGAGCCGCGCCGCCCTAGCCGAGCCGCGCCCTACTTACCTGTGCACAGCACTGCTACTGCTACTACTACTGCTACTGCTACTGCTACTACTACCACTGCTGCTACTGCTACTTCAGCTATGGCTAGCCCTACAGTTCTCTCGTTCGATTCTGAGGGCCGCCCGATTAAGTTTGATACCTGGCTCGATGATCTGCACCTGTTCCTCCAGCTCACTGCCAGAGAGGATATCTCGCTGTACGATCACGCACTAGGCACAGTCCCTGCTCCTGCTACTACTGCTACCGCTACTGCTCGCTCGCAGTGGCAGACTCGCGATGCCCACGCCCGCTTTGCCATTCGCAACTCCCTGCCAGTCGATGAGCGTGAGCACTTCGGCCAGCATCAGACTGCGCAGGCCCTGTACACTGCTGTAGTTGCGCG